GGAAGCAGGAGCAGGAGCGCGCCTAGCACCGTGGCCCCGTTGCCGGGACCCAGCGGAACGCGCTCCCCCGGATCCCCGTGCGCTCGCCCCCTCTGGGTCCTGGGGGGCAGCAGTGCTGAGCGCCGGCCTCACCAGGACTTCAGTTCGTAGTACCTTCCTTCCTGGGGTTATATTTTAAGAAGCTCTGGGTATTTCCTTCTCTTCCAGGTTGCCGCTTCAAAACTGTCCATGGCATGAAAGATTTGGACCGCCATCTGCGAATCCACACGGGTAGGTGTCCATTCATTGGCTCAGAGCTTTAGTGTTAAACAAAACAAACCACCACCCCAAGGAAAGGGTTCGAATTAAATGCTGTGCATATGGTGGTGATCAGCACAGATCACGGTCTCTGCCTCATGAAACAGTCCAGGGGGGTGGGCTGTGACCTAAGAAGTAAAAAACAGGCAAAAAAATGATAGCGACAGAGGTGAGGGGAGTGCTGAAGAACCTATGTTAGAGGGATTTGATCTAGCTGCCAAGGCTTGGAAGGAGCAAAATTGGGTATGAGGTTGTGTGAACTTGAACACAGATCCTCCAGCCCTAGTCAAGCCTTCACATCATTGCTGGTCCAGCCAACATCTTAATTATAACCTAGTGAGAAACCTTCAGCCAGACCTAATCAGCTAGTCTGCTCCTCGGAAATTTACTGAGATAATGTTTGTTGTTGTTGTTGTTGTTTAAATGGGCGTGAGATGAGGTTGGCAGAGGGGGAGCCTGTAGCCATAGGAACCTTAGATAAGAGCAATGAGGTTGCTTCTTAAAGGTGCTTTCCAAGGTGTAACTGTGTGCTGAGAACACAGAGAAATAAGATGCTGGAGCAGAGGAATTCCCTGATCTACAACCAGGGTCGGCACACTGTGGCCCGTGGGCCAGATGCAGCCTGCTGGCATGCCCCTTTGTCTACCTTCTTTCTGTGGCTGCTCTGGCCCTGCAGTGGCATCATTGAGTAATTGCTGGAGAGACGGGATGGTGCACAGAACCTGAGATATTTACTGTCTGGCTCTTTACAAAGTTGTGCCAACCTTTGTAGTGTAGGCCCTCCACTAGGCTGTATGAGTTAGGATACTGGTCTCTGTGCTCTTACAGAAACCAAACTAAGTGGCTTAAACGTTATCAGGTTTATTTCTCTCAGATATAGTTTAAGAAGCAAGAGATCCACAGCTGGTAGACTGGCTCTGTCGTCCTTAACATAGCACTTCATCTCCGGGTCGATTCCTTAACCAGGGGGAGGGGGAGGGGGCTCACAGCCTCCCTCCCCTGGGCTGTGCCCCAGAAGCAGCAAACCTTGTGGCTCGTGGGATATGAGCAGAACCCAGACCTGGCCACATCAAGCANGCTAATACCTCTTTTGGAGTATTTAATCTTTGTTATAGAAATTTTAAAAACTATATATTTAGATCAAACCATATGAAATTGTTATCTGAGCATGTAGACCCGTGAAAACCTTGATTTCACATGGTTCAACCTTACTAAAAATAGAATGACATGAGCTCCCTTGTACCCGTAGCTGGGCTTCAACAATGAATGACACGTGGCCAGTCTTATTTCCTCTATACAACTGTTCCCTGCCCTGGATCATTTTGAAGCAAATCAGACATATATGCAACTTACAAATATTCATCCCTAAACTATGAGAATGTTTTAAAAACTAATTCCATCTTCACACCTTAAAAAAAAATCCCTCATGAAATCTTCACTTAGGGTTCATCTTCTCACAGTCTTAAATGGGTTTTTGTTTTGTTTTTTAATATGTTTTTATTGATTTTTAGAGGGAGGAAGGGAGAAGGGATAGAGAGATAGAAACATCGATGAAAGAGAAACATCGATCGGCTGCCCCCTGCATACCTCCTACTGGGAATCAAGGCTGAACTCAGGCACCTGATGGGGATTGAGCTGGTGACTTCTTGGTTCCTGGGTTGATGTTCTGTGGCTGAGCCACACCAGCCAGGCTTAAATACTTTTATAATATGTTTAAATCAGAATCAAAATCCTGACATTACAGACCATCACCTCAAGTCTTTTAGCCCCTGGTTTCCCCCCATCTTCCAAGTTATCTGTTGAAATGCCTGCATTTTGTCCTGGAGATCCTCTGGTGGTGCTTGAATCATGGTCTGTGACCTGTTACTGAACTGAGACAAAGTCAGTCAGGAAATTGAGAGTAAGCATTTAAAAATAGTTTGACATCGCCATGACATCCAGCGTTCTGTTCTAATAACGTCTGGGCTTTTGTTTTTGTCTTATTTCACTTTCTCTTAATTTGTGTTTATTACCTTTTATGAAATAGTGGCCTGTGATGGATCGGAAATTATCTAACAAACTAGGTCTTTGAGAAGCGCTTTTGCCAAGTTTTACTGTCTGGATCTTGCCAGCCGCGTCCCTGTCATGATTCCATGTTCTTTCACCCCCTGTATCTCCTGGAAATTGGTCATTAGAGAAAGGTGACTTTAGTAAGACCCGGATGTACGTCAGTTTTTAACGTTTTGGGGTTTCTGGAGAGGTGATGAGGGGAGGTGGAGTATGAAGTAAGCCTGCACCTGCTCCATGATAAGACTTGCCATGGTGGTTATATCTGAGAAATTAAGTGACGCTTCTTTTTGTCTCCATCTCAGCTTCAGAACTAGATAACAATGCTCCAAAGTCAACTTGTCCCTCCACCGACAGCAGTGATGCTGAGAAAGCTCCTGTCGCGGCTCCTCCCACAGAGTCAAAGGAACAAACGGCCACCCTAGGAGAGAGGACTTTCAACTGCTGCTACCCAGGTTAGGGGGAGCGGGAGG